TTACTTATTTAAATATTGTCTTTGGTGGCTTTTTACTCAAATATTAGACCCTGTGGTGGTTAACAGTGGTTGTCAACTTGACAAGTTCTAGAATCACTCACTCCTGAGGCAAGCCTCTGGATACACTTTGTGAGTGACTGATTATCTAGATTAGGTTAGCCTCTGGGTATGCCTGTGAGGGATTTTCTTGATTAGATTAATTGAAATGGGAAGACCCACCCTAAATGTGGGCAGCTGTGGCCAAGGTAAAAGGAAATCTCAGGAGGAAAAGATTTTTTTTTCTTTTTTGCCTGCTCACCTTTGTGTCTTTTTTTAAAAAAAGATTTATTTATTTTATGTGTATGAGTGTGTGCACCAACTGCATGCCTGGTGTTCCAGGAGGCTAGAAGATAGATCTTCTGAAGCTGGAGTTACAGATGGTTGAGGGTCACCATATGGGTGCTGGGAACTGAATCTGCCTCTCTTCAGGAGCAGTAAGTGCCATCTCACCAGCCCTGATAACCAGCTTTTTAAATGTAGATGGTAGCGATTCAAATCGTGTTTGTACAGCCAGGCACTTTACTGACTGATTCATCTCTCCAACCCCTACATTGCTGACTTTCTTATCATCATCTTGAATTGATTTACTTACCTTATTCATCTGTTTGATCCTCTTTGAAGTCATTAACTTTTATTTATTATTTTATTTTTCATTTTATGTGTATGTGTGGTTTTGTCTGTATGTATGTAAGTATACCAGAGTCATGCAATGCCTGTGGAGGCCAGAAGAGGGTGTTGGAGCCCCTGGACCTGGAGTTATAGATGGCTGTTAGCTGCCATGTGGTGCTGGGAATGGAACCCAGGCCTTCTGCAAGAGCAGCCAGTGTTCTTAACTGCTAAGCCATCTCTTCAGCCCTTGATTAACTTTTAGAAGCAGACTTTAAATTCTTTGTCTGGTATTTCAACTATTTTGATATCCCTGGATTCAGTAAAGAATTATGATCTTTGGAAGGCACCACAATTCCTTGCCTTTTCATGTTCCCTGTGGTTCTGTATTTCAATTTATGCATCTGTCAGTTTGGATAGTGTGGGACTTAGAATCACCTAGAAAACACACTCCTGGGTGCATCTATGAGAGTGTTTCTGGAGAGCTAGGAAGATCCACCCTGAATGTGAGTGGCACCATTCCATGGGATCAGGTCCTGGACTGAATAAAAAGGAGAAACATGAATACAAATATTCATTTCTTTCTGCCTCCTTACTGTGGATTCAGTGTAACCAGCCACCTCACACTCCTGCTACCATGCCTTCCCTGCCATGATGGACTGCATCCCCTTTGACTGTGAGCCAACTGAAAACCTTCTTCCTTTCTAAGTTGCTTTTCTCAGATTATTTTGTTATAGCAACAGGAAAGAAAAGTAATTTATGTGTCTTCTGGTTTTATTTATGGATCTTCTTACTGAACAGTCTACTCAAGCATTCAAGCCTCAGTACCATTCAGAGGAGAAAAGAATCTACTGTAACAGCAGCAAAATAAGCAGAAAACTGTAAAAAACTGTACTTAAAAATCAATCAAGGTCAACTAATCATCAATGACACCATGGTACAGAAAAATTGCAAAAAATAGCCTAGAGTATGCTATGAAGTTAAATATTATTTAGAGTAAAAAATAAAAATAATGAATGAAGTAAAGGAAGAGGCAGAGAAAAAATGAAATGAGGAGAAAAGTTAAACAAAGAGAAATGAAGAATGGAAAAGTCAGGAAGAGAGAAAAAAGAGCAAGACATAAAAATTCTGATTTCACAATATAGTTATATACAAAATTAGGAGCATTTAAGAAAAGGAAGAAGAAGAAGAAGAAGAAGAAGAAGAAGAAGAAGAAGAAGAAGAAGAAGAAGAAGAAGAAGAAGAAGAAGAAGAAGAAGAAG